ATGTATTAATTTCAACAGTAAACCTCAGTTTGTTTGCCAAAAAATAAAAGGGTTTAATTTTAATTTGATTTAAAATAAATGTTTAATGATTAAAAAAATAATTTTTTGATTTTCAGAAAAATTATAAGAATTTCTGGAGGGAAAAAAAGAAAGAAAAAGTTTGTAGGGCCCTATTGTTCAAAATGTTGAAATTGAGACTTTTGAAATTATTTTTTCACTGAAATAAATGTTTTTGTAATTACACAGAGAGTAAAGTACCGAAAAAAGGTACCGTTGGGTACCGGTACCCAACCCTATCCATGACACCACCATGTTCCAAGTGGAAGAAGTGATCTGACAGAGGGAGAGAGGTAGAGACTGTGCCTGTGGGAAAGGATGCCGAGATACTAGAATAAACTTTCCAATAATGGCTGATTCCCATTGTACGGTGGGGTCTACATTACTATCCATTATGCGAGCATGACAAAAATGCTCGAGCCATATGCCTTTCACTGAGATACTACAAACATGTAGTACCAATTCTAACTAGAGATGCACCGATTGATCGGCCAGTGATTGGAATCGGCCGATTTTTCTGTAATTTCGCAGTCTCTCGTCTTGCCGATTCTGAACCGATCCTTTTATTACCAGCAGCACCGGCAATGACGTCACAGCCACGCACACATGATGTTTCCCCGAATATCAATATCAACACAACTATAATGTGACTCTGATTTTATACAATAGTATTTCAATAAACAAGAAGTTAAAACTAAGTGACAAAATATTGACTGTTTTTGCTCAGTCTCGCTGACGACAATAGTTCCGATCAAAGCCACAGCAGAACTGTTGTGTGTCTCCGAGCAACACACAGTGGTGTTTCCTTACTGAATGAATCCACCTTTTTGAACGAATCGAGTGAGTCAATGATTCAGTGACCCATTCATAAGGACAGTCACTTGCCTTGTTTCTGAATGAATCAGCCGTTTGAATGAATCGGTTGAATGAATGAATAAATGACTCACTCATTAAAACAGACATTTGTCGCCACCTACTGGTGGTTTAGTCATACTTAAAAGTATCATTGCATTTTTTCAACATTTATTTGTATGTTTAAAAAAATATGTAAAACATAAATTTTATAAAATTATTTATGCATTTGAAATTTTGCAGTGTATATGCATTTATGGCACCTCAGCTTCATCAAACTGTCTGTGTAAATGCATCTAATGCCACTTCAGATGCAGCTTCTGTTTCCTCAGCAGTGGAAATATAGAGGTTGTTAATACTAATTTAATTTGAATGGTAACAACTCTACAGTTTCTTATTATTCTAACGGAATTAATTGAAACAAAGTAAGAATTTGATGTGAAAGATGACACCTTTAATAAGGTTAGGGGGAAAAATGACCATTTATAAACATAGTGGGAAATGACATCTGTTTTGTTACATACAGCAACTCATTTTAAGTTAACTAATTCTTCCTCTTTCCAGTCACAGAGCACTTTATTTTGAGAGTTGTTTAAGTGAGAGAAAATCTGTAACTTAGTCCAGATTGGGGGAATTGTAATGTTTAATCATTTCTTTTATTATGTAAATCATTTTTGCATTGAAATTTGCATAGATTTTTGTTTGTATGTTATAAATTATTGTTCTTAGAAAGAAAATCAGAATTGGCAAAAATTGGCATCGGCAGGTCACACTTCTGAAAAATCGGAATCTGCCAAGAAAATTGCAATCGGTGCAGCTCTAATTCTAACATAAGAATTGGATTTAAAATCCATGTTTTTCCATCGTCTATCCCAGTGGTTACCTTAACCTTTTTGACTCCAAGGCACCCCACAACAATATTCGAAGACCTCATGATTTTTCCAGTTGTTTATGATTTACTGTATAGACTATATAGATTAAAGGGATAGTTCACCTACAAATTAAAATTCTGTCATTAATTACACACCCTCATGTTGTTCCAAACCCATAAGACTTGCGTTCATCTTCGGAACACAAATCCGAGAGCTTTCTGACCCTGCATAGACAACAACACAACTGACATGTTCAAGGCCCAGAAAGGTAGGAAGGACATTGTTAAAATGGTCCATGTGACATCAGTGGTTCAGCAGTAATTTTATGAAACTACAAGAATATATTTTGTGAAGAAAGTTCTTGGATTATCAAAAATATCTTAATTTGTGTTCCGAAGATGAACTAAGGTCTTATGGTGTGTGTTCACACCAGACGTGAAGCGAATATGCGCATCGCATCACTTGCTCTAGATTACTCGTGGGATGTTTTTCGTGTCACTCACGCGAATAAAAACATAGCGTGCATAAGATGCACAGTCAGAAGTACAGCAGTTGATGCAAATTTATGACCATGCACACTCATAGTAAACACCCTAGAATTTACACTTCTCTTTCCCTCTTTGTTCATAATAATAATCATGTTCATTTAATTACACAAATCTGCGTGGCTCTCACCGTGTCTACTCCGGACACGAGTGGCGCGGCGCGCAGTAATGTTGTCTACACTAGTGATGGGAAGTTCGGATAATTTTACCGACTCGGACCTTTGACAGGGTATATACAGGAATCATGGAGTTAAATTTAATACCTTTTAAAACCTTTTTTAAGACTCTTTCCATACATTTTAAGACCTCATCGCCACTCCAAGTTTTAACCGGTTACATCGGTGACACTTTAACTTACATTTACTGATTGTAAGATAGCACAACTAAACAGACTTGCTTTGTGATAACTCCTTATCAATACAACATAATTCAGAAGTGGGGAACGAAGCACAAGAGAATTAATTGAGTGACTAACCAATGCCAACCCAAGAAACAAGAATTAGACCAATAAACAAAACAACTGACAAAACTTATTGAGGAGAGAAAATAAAGCTCTCCGAGCTAACGGGGCAATGAGTTCACAAAGTATATTCAAAAGATGTATGTCACATCAACTCAAACCATAGCTGTTTTGTGGAACACTTCTCATGACAAACATCTGACTGATCAGACAGTTTACCTGTGATTAC